AGTACACAAGTATGCAGAGACAGAAAACAGACCTGAAGGGGTAACTGGAATATGAGTGACACATGTTTTTTTTTTTAAATGAGGTTTTTGCTATAGGGCACATGTGCTCACCAGAAAGCCAGAGAGAGACAGGGATACAGAAAATGAGAAATCATTCTCCAGGGTGGATGGCCATGCCTCAATCCCTTCTCTTCCCTTCTCCTCTTGGGATCTTGGGCACATACACACATGCACCTGGTGTGAGTTTAAGCCACCGGGTCAAGGACTCGAACCACGGTCAACTATATGGGAGTCCAGTGACATAGCCATTACGTAATTCTATGAAGAACATCTAACACTTGACTCCTTATCTGTCTAGGGAAAAAAGGGCATCATTGGTAAGTAGGCACAGGACAGAAACATATCGTGGGCTGATTGACTTTTGGGTCAATGCATGTAATAAGAGATAAGTAGCACGTAGCTATCCGTTCAGTTTCCCTCAAAGCCTAAGCCGGGTTACCCACTCAAAGCAGGAAACACAGGAGACAAGAAACAGGCAGGAAAGACTTCAGATCTTGTGCTCTCTACCTCAGCTTCAAGCAGAGATGTTGTGATTAAATCTTTATTAGTCAATATTTGAGATTTCATTAAAAAAAACTGACTTGATGGAAAGATCAAGGAATAGAAATTATCAAAAGTCTATCAAAAATTAACTGTATCACTTTAAGAAGTAAACTTCAACCATTTGTCCCAGTATTTTCATCTGTAAAATGGAATTTAAAAATGCATATCCAAGAAGAATCCTAGCATTGTGACAATCAAATGAGAAAATACAGTTTTCTTTCAAAAAGTTAAACAAACTCTACAAATGTCAGGCCCTCTCACCTTTGGATCCTATCTTATAAAGCTGGTTCCGGGATGTATGCTTGCCAATCATCGCATTCTCTCTTTTTGGCTATCTTTCTTCTACACATGGAGTACTTCACTCAGCTCCAACTTAAACATCACACACAAAGGAAAGATAAGCAGTAAGAAAATCCAAATGCATGGCAAAACCACTGCATGTTAAAAAGAAAGAACTAGACTCACGTTGAACTTCGTTTTCGTGGTGCATAACTCCCCTTTCCGTAGGTCTTATTAACTTCAAAGAGAGCTCCGTGCATGTAAATGATTATATTTATTGGATGCGCCAACTCCTTCTTATCCTCCAGGCACAATTAGAAATATCATAGAAAAATGAATGTCAGAGACTTGGATCCATATTTGATATTCTATGGGAAATTTCCCATAGTTACAGATGTTAAAATTCCTGCCCAATAGTCCAGTTTATGAATTTGTCATATTTCTTCCTCTATAACTTTGGAATTATTTTTTCTCTGGTTTTAGAATATTCTTTTTACATTAAGAAATATATTCTCTTTAGGCCCAGATAAACTGGTGATAAAACCTTGACTTGTTGTATTACTTGGTAGAATAATAAAAAATTTAGACTGCATAACCCTTCTCTTTCAGGAAACTTAGTGCTTCCCTGAGATTATACCATTAATACTTACAGCAACTCTGTTCCTACTTCAGGTTCACTCTGGGAACTGCTACTATAATCATTGTCTAGGAACTGAATTTCTGTAAGCTCAGTTTAATAATATAGGCACTGAACCATACTGTAATTTCAGAGTTTGTTGTAAATTCAGGCCATTATCAGTATTTTTGTGAGGTAGCTATAAACTCAGGTCTCTCCACTTGAAGTAGCCACAATCAATGAAAATAGCTGTTAGGTATATGGAGTCCTGCACTTTTCACACCAATTTGTTGTTTGTTCTCTAAAATTCTGTGGTCACATGGCTCATATGGATGGTGTCTCTGCAACTGACTCTTAACAAGCCCCTACTACACCTTACCAGTTAATATAAAGACCTTGAGGGCCAGCCAGGTAGTATGGTGGTGAAAGCAGTTAGATATCACATGGCCAATTTATTGGTTTGAGTTCCAGAAACGGTGGCTTGAAAAACAAGCCAGGCCCCTGTGTGTGCATTCTCAAAATCCCAAGAGGAAAGTGGAGGGGAAAGAACTGCAGTGAGATCACTCCCCTGGAGAATGGTTTCTCACATTTTTTCTCTCTCTCTCCTTCTCTATCTCTCTCCAATGAGGGTACAAACAAAAACCTCCCAAGTGTTATAGACATGGAGCCTCAGCATTTATACATGTATCTTCCCATGCACACTGTATCTGAAAGGGCAGGTTAGCTCTTCAACTAAACTTTTTTTTTTTTTTTTTTGTAAAACAAAAAGAAGAAAACAGATAAACCTCTAAATTAAAATTTAGACCTGTTATGAAAAGGAAAGAGTTCCTATTAAAAGACAAAAACTTTTACTGAAATGGTACCCACATGTGATGAGTGGTTTGAATGAAACCAATACGTGTTTATAATTGGATAAGCAATATGACTTACATAAGATTCAAACTAGCCTTGGAGGCAAACAAATAAAAACCAAATCAAAGCAACGTGGATCTTAAATTGTTTGTAAGAAATAAGTAAACAAGGACAGTCTCATTTTAATCAATATAGAGAAAAATAATCTAAGGTGTATATAACAATCAAATTCCAGTGAAAATGTGTGTAAGTAGGTTTATTTTGAAAGGAAAAGTCCTACTCCCAGTGTCATAACCAATTAAATTCTCCAGGTAATGACCCCATTTGCATAGCAAGCGGAACCCACAAGTGGGAATTTTAATGGGTACACCACCTGAGTACAGTAATTGAGAGTGACACAACTTGAACTAGTTTTGTGCTTACCCCACTGAAAATTCTACTCATATTATTTTTAATGTCAAGCTACAAGTCAAATTTCAAGATGATGGATTTGTTCTTTTTTAAGCACCGAGTTTGAATAAAAGAAATGCTTTAATTCTGTTATGCATTGCATATCTTTGCTTTAACTAATCTGTAGTTCTGATTCTCACCATTGCTTCATTTTCTGTAGTGATTGGAATTTAATTTTATTCATTAATTTGTGAATAATTAGATAAAAAAATAAAATAATGTCCTCAGCAGCTAAATTGCTTTTGGATTGCAATTTAATGTACTTTTTGCCAGAAACTATATTGTAGTTAAGCTGGCATAATAGTTTACTAAAATGTAATTGTGTAAATATGCCCAATTATTCTTTCCAATGATCTAACAAGATCTAATATAATATGTATCCATGGGTATTTCACTCCTCTTTCACCTCAATACCAAGAAAACACTTTCTGCAGAGCTGATCAGAGATGTCTTGTCATCTGAAGATGTTACTTTTAACAGATATTCTCCTTATCTCTCAGGCACAATTCATGTCCTTGAAAGAATTGTGCATTCTGATTGAGGGATCATATGACATCCACGTTAAATTATATAATAAAGGTGATTTCAAGACTCTCAGAGTCAGACGCATATGATGAACTGTGCTTTCTAGGTTCTGAGGTGACGTGTTAAAACTTCTTTTGTTTCTCTCTAAGATTGCTTGAGATACTAACTGTTTGTAGGTGTTTGACACCACTCTGCCACATCTGTAATTGGCATAGCATCCAGCAGACAGGCTCTGTACATCTTTACACTGCAACCTACCAAGTTAAGAAATGTATTGGTTCAATATAAAACAGCAGGCTGTTTTTAGACATAGTTACTAGTGCACAAGCTTTAATATGGCTTGGCTTCATCCTATAATGAGATCTTTTGGTTCCCTGCTCAACAGGCTTTTATTCCTTTGCAAAAGGCTATGAACTATGTCAAGTGGATCAGCTGCTTTTGTACACCCTCTTTCTTGGCTTTGGAGCATAATTCCTTTGCTTCTACCCCTTTATGCATCAGACAGAAAATAAGAACCGTTTCAATTTTTCAAACTAAACTTAGAAAGAATTTGTTTGAATTTGCTTTTCACCACTTTCCTAATCATTACATTCCCAACGAAACCTCACACAAAGACCTGCCTGGAAGTGAATATTTAATTGCAGAGCTATACTTTGTCTTTAACACCTATATCTAAACCCCGTGTTGGAAATGGGTCACAGGAGAGTTATCTAAAATAATTAGTTTTCTAAAATAATAATCCTTCATAGTCAACTCACAACTAAATGAATAATTCTGTTTTGGTGACACTAAATGGGCTGAGGTAAAGGATTAAGGGGATAAATAATGACAAAGAAACAATGAAATTATAACCACTGGCCACAGTTCAATCAGAATGCAGGATGCTACTTATGTTGAGAGCTAGCTGCTTCGGAGCTTTGCTTGTGGCCCCAGTGGATAATGTTATACTTCTATCCTAGCTTGACTGAAAATGGTGTGGTAACAGATTTCTGCCTGCCTAAGAGGCCCTTCTTTCCAGGTAAGTTTTGGCCACAGCTTTGCTTATAATCTTTTGTACTTCCAGATCGCCTATGGACCTGATGACAATTTCATCATACACAAGATGTATTGAGTCACAGCTTTTTAAGGGAAAAGGTCCAGTCATTCACTGAGAATATATATATATAATATATATAATAAGAGACAGAAAGCGAGAAATCACCCCCCAGGGTGGATGGGCACACTGCAATCCCTTCTCCTCCATTCTCCTCTTGGGATCTTGGGCATGCACACACACGTGCCTGGCATGAGTGTAAACCACTCGGTCCGGGACTTGAACCGCGGCCGACCACATGGGAGTCCAGTGACATAGCTGTTATGCTAACTGCTGGTCCCCATTCACTGAGAATTTTATAGTTTGAAAATATAGGGTTGATTTGGTCATCAATGATAGTTTTTGCAAAATCTACCCTGTACATTAGGGGTGAATCATAATGGTCTCCCCTCTCCAAGACCCTTTCCATTTTAACCAGAACCTCTAAAATAATCTTAAATAGCTAAGTAAATGTAAGAAACCTCACCATTGGACTAATCGTTTTCTCACAAAAAGTGCTAAACTTCTTCCCTATGTTGAAACTTCCCATGGGCTACGCAACTTTCTTGAGGTTCCTATACCAATTCAAGGACAGAGAAGACATACACTGTATATTTTATTGTTTATAGGGGCACATAGAGACAAAGGATTGAAAGGGCTTCCTTACAATACTTAATCATTAAATAACAATACAAAAAGTAAGTGTGGAATAAATCCTACCAATATTAACCATTGTTAATTGCATGCTTTACTTTATAAGTATAAAAGGAAGAGAAAAATAAGTATTATTGTATTTGATTACGTTTTATCTGGACTGTCAGTTTAGATGCAACAATCCTACAGGGCTAAAAATCAAAAATAATTGGAAGGGGCATAAGGGTCTTGAATAATTTGAAAAATAATCTCATTAATAAATAAACTTATTCATTAGGCAGCAGGTAAATCTAGTATTTAACTAGAATTCTAGAAGGCAAGTCACAGAGTCTCTGGACTCGAGTCTTATTTATGGTAAGCAGCGACGTTTGACGTTTATAACATTAGAATCTAGGGCACTGATAGAGTGTGTATGGATAAGGAATGGAAAGTTATTACATAAGGTTGCCTTGGTTACTCCTTGAACTGCTCAAATAATACTGACTATTCGGGTGAGAAAAATAGATGCAGTTGATTCACTGTAAGAACACAAAAATATTTTTTTTCTAAATAAAAAGCCTTCTACTAAATAAAGGCATTGTGTATTATTTTAGTTACATACTAACTGTAAGACATTTCCAAAAATTATGCCACTAAAAACACAAAATAAGAATACTTCTGGTGAGTTAGTGTTATGTAAAAATTCAATAAACTAAATTTCATTGATCTTGAGCATTTTTAACTTCATGTTCAATCTGAGCATATCTTTAAAAAGTTACTTTAATTTTTATAAGTTGAGATATAATTCCAAAATAAATAAGTGAAACCAATTTACTAAAAAATCTATAAAGCTTGTGCTTTGACATATTTTGGATTTTTAAAAGAGCACTATGTTTTGAAGTCATGATTTACACTATAAATTGGTCTATATCTTTCATAGCTAATTTATGGGCATGAGTCATCTGACTTATATAAGGAGACCAAGAAATCTTTAGAAAGAGATGTATAAAGAAAACCCTCATTCATATATAAATCAACTAATACATCAATTAGATAGGAAAGTATGCTAATATACAATAAATAAGTCATTTCCTTTTTAATTTCAAAATAGTGTACTCAGGATAATACAAGTCCAGTTTGAAAACATTTGAGTAAGATTCCACATTTAAAAGGAGAGCAAATCTATAACTAAATTCTCATGCTGGTCATATACTTCAACAAAACATTTTACATAAAGAAATTCTAAAAAAATATTGGAACTACTTTCACATTTGCCTACTTTTCTTTTTAATTATACAAGATGACTGCTTGGAAACAACAGAGGAGAAATACTGCAAATATAAACACAAAAACAAAATCCTGGTATCCATTAATGTTCTCTATTACAGAGAAACATTATTTTAAATGTACTTATATTCTTATCACAAAAAAGTAGCAGACCATATTTAAAAATTAGACAAATCATTTGACTGAAAATTTTTTCTGGATTAATAGTCAGATATTCTAACAAATTTAGGTCATTAGGAGGCTTTATATGTTTATAAACAGATGATATGCTTACATCCTAATATATACATGTACATCAACTCTGGGTATATGGAAACATTCAGATTGTAGTTACTGTGAAATTGTGCAAAGGTTTTCTTATGTCTGGTGGAACAAATTAAAGATAAACTTTAGAAGAGGAAGACAAAAGGCATTACTAGAATTTTATTTAAACCCAACCATGGAAAGGGTGTATGTGTGTGTGTGTGTGTGTGTGTGTGTGTGTGTGTATAAATAGTACTAAAGGGGGAATTTGAGAGTTTGCTAACTTTTTAATTTTGTAAACCCTTTAAGTAAGATACAACTAAAAACTAGGTTTAATCTCAAAGCAAAAACTGTAGGTGACATTTCTACGTTTTAGGTTAAACATGTCTTAGGTTTGATAGGGCTTTCAAAAATATGCTTTTTGTTGTTCTATCAGTTTGTATTCAGCCAGAATTAAATATAGCTATTCATTCCAAAGTATAGTTACAAATTTTCCATAAGAAATTACATTAAATCAAGCCAAATTAGAATTTTGGAGAGATCCACTCAGTAGAAGAGCACATAGTATGAAAACGTCCTTTCCCTTTCATCTGAATCACAGTCTCCATGTCTCAATAGCGATATTGTTAGTCTTGGTAATTCATTTAAATTTAAGAATCTTTACAACCTACGAAGTTGGCTTAATTTAACACAAAATTGTAAAGCTGGAATTTGTTCACAGTACTGAATTCTAGATGCCCAGTGCATTGGAAAGAATGATTTGCTTTGAAGATTAGCTGTGTTTATAAAATAGACTATCAGTTAAGAAACAAACCCAAACAAATATACCGCCTCCAAAAGACTTAAAGATGTCAAAATTTTAAAAAAAAGTCTTTGACTAAATCAAAACCAAGTGCAGAGATTTTAATATTAAAAATTTTCCAAATTCAAATAGAATTTATCAAAACTATCCCATATTCTTTGTAAAATACAGTTATTTTCATAAGGCATTCAGTTTCTGTCATGAATTTCATCATAACATTTAAATTATGTATAAGAAAATAATATTTGTAGTTCATTTAAATTAATCATTTTTAAAAAGCTATATTTCTGCAAGGAAAAAAAATATGCTGAAGGCATTTTTCTTTGAACTGGCTAAGCACATATATAGTTCAGTTTGACCACCTAAAACTTTGTCCCAAGTCAAAATATTTAAGTAACAGATGAATCAGTTATTCTAAGAGGCCTTCTCAAATGCCACTTCTCCTTTGATGCCTTCCTGAATATTCTGGTAGCTCTTTTCTGGGTATTTCTATGGCCTTTTGGATTTCTCTCTCTTGGAATTCTCACTTCAGTATGCCTTGTGACATGGTTCATTCTTTACAGGTCTCATTTCTCTGCTCAAGTGCAAACTCCTGTGGATGGAATTTGTTTCCCAAAGTTTACTTTAAAATAAAGAATGCTTACTTTTAGTCATTAAGAGATAAACATAAAAAATAAATGGTCTGGTTTGAATACCCACTGAAAAATAATATATTTGAGGCATGGTGCTCTCAAAGATTAAGAAACAGAGATACAAATAAAAAGGAGGAAACATTTAACATTGGGGGGGGGTGTCAGAATGTCCCTAAGTTATTGTAAACTAGTAAGAAGTTTAAAACACTAAATAGTTAAAATTTCACATATTAAACCATGTGGATTTAGTTAGAGAAGAAAGGCTTTCAGAGATTACTTAAAATAATGAGTTAACAGTGCAAATACCATGTCACCTCATGAGAATCTTACTATGTGCTTTTCTTTCCCATTACAAGAAAAAATTTAAAATACTCTCCAGTTTTAACGCAAACAAAAGATAAATATTTATGAAGGAAAACAAATTCCACAGCATTCCATACAGATTTCCAAACAGTCTGATGATTCACAACAGGCATCCATGATGCCACAGTCCATATCACAGGGGCAGTTACAGTCATCCCCCATCTCGTCTCCACAGCAACAGCAGCAGGCTTCTGACGTGCAGATGCCACACGAAGCTTGTCCCAGGACAATATTGCAGAGGGTCAGGAATTCACAGAACAAGCACGCCAGGATACAGTGGACACAGCAATCTTCATTTTCAGTTGTGAAGGGACCACATAGCAAGAAAAAAATGAATACAAAACACATAAATTGTCAATGGACGACAAAAGAATTGATCAAAATAAATAATCTACAATGTAAATGAAGTTTTTTGTTAAGTTGGAAACTCAAAAAGTGGTTTAAGTTCTAGGTGAATAGGGAAGAGCAGATGGCATAAGGATTACATTGCTGAACTCCCACATCGTGGACCATGGTTTGAGCACTGGATCCAGTGGCTTAAAAACATGTATATATGTGCCCAAAATCCTGAGAGGAGAATAAAGGAGGAGTTGCGGTGTGACCATCCCCGGGGGGATGGGGGGTGATTTCTTACTTTCTGTCTCTCTGTCTCTCTGGTGAGTGCACATGCACTATAGCAAAAGTCTCTCTCTAAAAAACAAAATTCTAGTTGAATAATCTTTGAGATACTGTATTCAAAAGACAAGCAAACCAACAAATTGTAGCATACACACACACACACACATATATGTATATAAATCTTGACTAAACTAATTCCATGACATTTATAAAAGTTTTTCAGAAATACAAATTTTTTTCAAATGCTCCACACACCTGCTCCAAAGTGGAAGGAAAAAAAAATTAAATATGGAACATTCAGTTTATAACTGAACAATTAATTCAGTAGTTGAATCAGAATCCATTAAATTGGGATCAATATATTTTATTTTCTAATACAACTGATTCAACTTCATGTTTTCAGTTTTTTTAAAAAATTTCTTAAGAATTAAACAAAACCAGGAAGACTCTGGTTGGGCCTAACTATTCCTTCTGGAATAGCTCTGCTGCCTCTTTCTAACAAAGGGATCTGTATCTTGGCAGTGTGAATAATGACACAGAAATATGGCTTTCCCACTCCATTTGGTGGCAAAGTACTGTATATCTCTATTATTTCTTGAGATACCTCTAATGATGCTTTTCTAAACAATAACACTCATCCATCTTCATGAACTAATAAATAGTTGAGAAATCAGGGACCAGCAGATGGCATAATGGTTACATCGCTGGACTCCTATGTAGTTGATAGCAATTAAGTCTCATGCCCAGTGGCTTGAAACTCATGCCAGGAACATGTGTGTGCTGCCCAAATCCTTAGAGAGAGTGGAAGAGAATAAATTGAGGCACAGCCATCCCCCTGGGAGGTGATTTCTCTTTCTGTCTCTGGTGAGTGCAATCGCAAAAATTTCTCTTAAAAAAAAAAAGTTGAGAAATCAAACAAATTACAATCTAATGAATTTAGGATACCATATTCTACAGTTTTATCCTTGGGAATCTTGGGGCAAGTGGGAAGAATGGTTGAAGAAAATTTCTATTTCTGGAATCTTTAATATAGATAATAAAAATCATTTGAGATCAGTGATAAGTCATTAGTCTGATAGCACAAATATTTGTAAATTTTTACCAGAATTCTGTCTGCATTATTTTTTGCATATATGTATGTGTGTGTGTATGTGTTTCCATTTTGTACAATGTGAGTTCTAATAAGACAAATTCTCCATATGCTTATATCTTGAACAGGATGAACTCTAATAAGGGGATTTTAGTTCCCTCAACAGCAAGCAGACACACCCTCATACCACTGTCACATGCCTTTTTGTTTCTCCAGTAATCATTAAAATTACAAGCTTTCAATGGAGTTTCAGCAAATTGTGTGAAAACCAAACATGAAGAAAAATAAATAAGTGAATAAATGCTTGTTGCTTGGCAGCCCTACTATAATAGAGAAGAATGCTCTTCTTTATACAATGCTATGTAACTGTACATGTAGACGTGAATTGATAGAATTCTTCTAGCATCACTGTTACAAATGCTTCAGGGACAAAAAAATAAACACCAAAGGAACTAGGTAGCCTCTCAACTCTATAAGCTTTTCTCATCCCATCACAAACTCTGACCCGTTGAACACCCTTCACCCAGTTTCTTGGCAGTCTCCAACTAGAAAACTCTGAGGGTGAAAGGAGGAAATTTGGAAAGACAAAGTCATGTTCTATATACCAAATGGTGAATAAAAAAAGAGTCTGAAAAGAACACATAATAGAAACTTGTAGAGTTAAAGGCTCAAACAACACACTCATATTTCCTTTCATTCTTCTCAGGGCCAAGTTCACTCTCACATACCACGGTCCATGCAGGAACTGGAAAAAGTCACAGAGCTGTAAGAGTTTCTGGGTCTCTCCAATCTTCTCGTAATGCTGATTTTTGGTAATATCCAGTCACCTTGAATCAACTTACATGAATCCAAGTCTTATAGTCTGCTTAGTTCTATGTTTCTAGAACATCCATGGTTTGCCTCTATCTTCCTTTTATACTTTCATCCCAATATCTCCAATATCTGTTTTATATGTTTCTCTTTGGTTGAGCTTCCTGGAAAAGTTTACAACTACTACTAATTATAAATCCAGCACTTTATTATAATCCAAATATTTTACAAATTGTGATGAATATTTAAAATGTTATAAAGAGCTACCTTTAACAGTAGTAAAAATAAATAAATAAAAGTGTTTAACTGGCAGTAAATCTCTCATTAAAAAAAAAGAAGAAAAAAGGAAAGAAAAATAGGAGCCAGCCAGTGGCATGGAGGTTAAAGTGGTTGGATCCCACATGACCGACTTTGCAGTTGGAGTCTCAGACCAAATGGCTTGAAAAACACACCAGGAGTGTGTGTGTGTTTTTCCAAGATCCCCAGAGGAGAATGGAGGAGAAGGGATTGCGGCGTGACCATCCCCTCTGGGGGTGTGATTTCTCACTTTCTCTCTCTCTCCCTCTCTTGGTGTCTCTCTAGAGAAAAAACTAAAAAGGGTTACACGTTTTGAACCCTCTTTTGGTTCATTCCCTTACAGATTATATCTTCTTTTCTCTGAAGAGATAATCATAGTTTAAATACTGAATGAATCTTTCTCTTTTTAAAATCTTATTTTGTACAACAGTTTCTATGAAAGTGTCCCTGCACAGTCAGAAAGGAAACCACTCTATATGAATTCACGTGAGTAGTACTTTTGGCTCATCGTCATCTGTTTCAGATTTTCTGATACTGATTTATGTAGCTGTAATTCACTCATTATCCAAGAATATAGTATTTCATTAATTTAATATACCATGATCAATTTATCCATTCTATTACTTATAGATATTTTGGTTATGTCTAGTGCTTTTGCTATTCTAAACACCAATGCTTGAAACAACTTCTTCAAGTCTCCTAGTACATGGGTCCCCAACCCCTCACACACACACCCCTGCTCCAGCTACAGAATGGTACTGTTCTGGTAATCAGTACCAGAGACTTTTTGATAGTTAAACACTTTTTTTCTTACTACTATTACTAAAGGCAGCTCTTTATAACATATCAAATATTCACCATGAATTATAAAACATTTGGATTATTATAAAGAGCCAGGCTTATTAGTAGTAATAGTTGCAAGTTTTTCCAGGAAGCTTAGCCAAACAGAATCATAAGATATTAGGATGAAAAATATAGAAAGAAAGAAGACAGAAGTACTAGTTCATGAGCTGCTATGAAGCAAGCCGCAGTAGAAACCGAGCTGCGGGCAACTAAATGAAGCTTTTTAATCATATCGGGTAAAACTGAATTTGTTCCCCCAAAGATTAAATTCTCATTGCCCCACATTCTCATACTCTGAAATTGTTACACTTTATGCTATTTAGTTGAATGTGAAATGGCATCTAATAAGGGTTTTACATTGCACTTCCTTTATTACTAGTAAATTTAGACAAATTTTCATGTTTGTTAGCTATTCATGTTTCCTTTTCTTTGAAAGAGGTGTTCAGTGTATTCATGCTTTTCTTCTTTTTTTTGATTGGGTTGTCATTTTTTTTTTTTTTGATGCTAAAAGGTGCACGTGCTTACCAGAATGACACAGAGAGATGAGGGAGAGCGGGAGAGGAGAAAGCACTCCTCTGCAGAGAATGGTCATATCACAATCCCTTCTCTTTCAACTCTACCTCTGTCTGGGACTTTGGGCACACACACACGTGCACTTGGTGGGTTTCTCAAGCCACTGTCTGGTACTCAAACCATGTGATCAGCCATATGAGAACTGGTTGCCTTAACCAACAGGCCACAGAGCCAGCAAAGGTTATCTCTGATTATCTCTTTTTTCTTATTGATTTGTAGAAGTTTTTCATGTATAAGATACCAATCCTTGGGACCAGCAGATGGCATTATGGTAAAATCATTGGACTCCCATGGAGTCAAATGCAGTTCAATTATGGTAATGTCATTGGACTCCCATGGAGTCAAATGCAGTTCAAGTCCCAACCTAGCGAATTAAAACTCATGCTGTGTGCATGTGCATGTGCATGCATGCCCAAGACCCCAAGAGAATAGAGGAGAAGTGACTGAGGCATGGTCATCCTCGGGGGTGGGGTGGGGGGATGATTTCTTGCTTTCTGTCTCTCCGGCAAGTATACATGCCCTACAGAGAAAAAAACAAACAAACAAACAACAGCAACAAAAAAACTGTCTCAAAAAGAAAAGAAAAGAAAAGAAAAGAAAAATGATACCAATCTTTTGCCAAATATGATTTTCTTCTACTGGGTGTGACTTTCCTTAGTTAAAATAACAAGAGGGGAATGGATTAATTTTTAGACCTTGAGAGTTTTAGGTGATAAAGAGACATTTAAATCAGATCTTGTAGTTACCTGAAGATATGAGATTACATGGTTTAGGAGGTGAGAAGGCAGATAGACAAATCTGATAATTGGTGAAAAGAAGAAGGAGGGCATTAACAAAATTCCTTAGTGGAATGAAATGTAAGTTTTAGTGCTCTTTAAAACAAGGGAGTCTCAGGACCAGCAGATGGTGTAATGTTTACATCGCTGGACTCTCACATAGTCGACTATGGTTCGATTTGCAGACCTAGCACCTTAAAACTTATGCTGGGCATGTGTGCTTGCGTGCCCAAACTCCTGAGAGGAGACCAGAGGAGAAGGGATTGTAGCATGGCCATTCTCT